CCCTTGGAAAAGTACATTAAGAGTAGAGGGCCAACGGTTGTAATGGCAAGTCTTAGGGAACTGTTAGTATAGTCTTCAACGAAGCAACAAATGGATAGAGTTGTCTACACTTCTTTTTTTTCTTCCCTTCAGAGTGTTATTTAACTATTGGGTTACTTTATCAAAATTTTGTTTCCACTTTGTCTGTAAGAAAAAATAAAAAGAGATCAAATCATGAAAGCTTGATAGAAAGAATTTACTAAGGGCAAATCAAGGCTTGATACATAGTTCACATGGGGTGGTTCTTAAAGTTGTCCCTGGACAGCATGTCAGGATCATCAGAGAACTTATTCAAAATGCAAATTCTCAGACCCTGTCCCAGACCCACTATATCAGATGCTCTGGATGGGGTCCAGCAACTTGTGTTCTCAAAAGCCCTTCAGGGGATCTGCTGCACACTACAGTTTGAAAATCATTCCCTAATATTGCTGCAGCTAATGGGCAGGAAGTTTTTATTGGATTGCTTGGAGACTAGAAAGTGCAAATTGTCCTAAAGTGGAAGTGGAGAATTACTCAGCTGCAGAATGCCTCAGGTAGAGGCCATGAGCAGGGAGGTCTGAAGTCCCTTGAAATCCAAAGCTCTTGACACCTTGACTTTCTATTCTTGGGAAGGCACAGCCAGTACCTGACAATCCGGTGTGCTCAGGATACAGGTGGAGATCCAGGTTCACAGAGAGCCCCAATCTTTTCTTTTACTGTCCACCAAAGAGCATGATTATTAGAATTTTTAACAGGGAATGGATTCAAGTCCCACTCTGATAGGCCCTTACCTATCTGTGAGAGGTATGGGAAACTTTATTCTATAGAGCCTCAGTTTCTTCATCTTTGGAACTAATACCTTCTGCAAAGCATTGTGTGATTCATGTGCATCACATAAAGTAGGCACTCAACACTAGTTCCTTTGGTTCCTGGTTTCCAAGGGCTGATACTCAGGACAGAATGGGACTGAGTGTAGCCATTCTGATCCATCAATATTCATCCTGTACGAGTTGATATATTTTATATATCAACCCTGCTTATAAGAATGTAAGCCCTTTTTCTTTCTTATTTCTACTTGGTAAATAATAATTGCATATTATAAACACATGTTCTTATAGAAGATGTGTGGGTGGTCTTATAAACACAAACCTAGGGTATGTGTAATGCTTATTTAAACAGAAAAAAGGTTAATCTTCCATTGATAAAACAAGACATGGCAATTTTTTCAGGGAGAGCAAAATTGGTCAAATTTAAAGTTTAGTAATATGGTTATTTCAATGTGATAACCTCTAGCAAGATCTCTCCTGGATATTGCCATAGGTGCTCTTATAAGAAGATAAATGAAATACTAATGATCGTGCTGTCATGACTTACTCTAAAGAGACTGACAGGCTTCATCTATGTCTGGGGGTACTTCATACCCAGCTGTTGAGCCCAGAATTGGCTCACATTCCCATCCAGGCATCTCAGGGTGCTCTGCTGCAGCTCTCAGAAGGCCAGGAATCCGCTTGGATGTGCCTTGTGTAGTTCTTTGAAGTCCTAGAATCCAGGACTTTCTTTTTTTCAGAGGGTGTTGGTATATTAGTAATATGCATTGCCACCTTGACAACTCTATCCAATATAAAATCCACTGCATCAAGTTTCATTTTCATCCTTGTTTCCAAAAGTGAGTTCTAAAAGATCACTAATTATTATGACCATCAAAATATCATTTAAAAGCTCCAATTCTCTGGTCTTTTGTATGTTATCTACAGAGCTCACTGCTTGGGAATTTTAATGGCTATGGCAGTCCACAGCTATCTTTCCTGTAGACCGGGTGTTCTGGACTACAGGAAAGACACAAAACAGTATACAAAGTCAATGTTCTGTCAGTTAAATTCTGGTAAATAAAACCATATAAAATAAAACGTAAGAGGAACAAATGATCAATAACTAATTTTCCCTGAGGTACCAGCCTTCAGCCTTTCCTTTTTTTCCCCCCCTAAATGTGGGCCTGTTTGAAGGCACCTGTTGTTTTGGGATCACCTCAACCATTAGTGGTAACTATAGGCCCTTATGGCCTAATTTATATTTCTTTCATGATCATATAGCCTGTTTTTCTTTTCTTTTTTTTTTTCTTTGAGACAGAGCCTCAAGCTGTCCCCCTGGGTAGAGTGCCATGGCATTACAGCTCACAGCAACCTCCAACTCCTGGGCTCAAGCGAGTCTCCTGCCTCCGCCTCCCAAGTAGCTGGGACCACAGGCGCCCGCCACAACGCCCGGCTATTTTTTGGTTGCAGCCGTCATTGTTGTTTGGCGGGTCCGGGCTGGGGATTCGAACCCGACAGCTTAGGTGTACGTGGCTGGCGCCTTAGCCGGTTGAGCTATAGGCGTCGAGCCATAGCCTGTTTTTCAAGCTTAGCTCTCAGTATTTACTTTATTTATATATTATTTCTAAGTCACTTATTAAAATACAAATATTTGTCTTTTATAAAATATAAACATTAAAATATACTTAAAAGGTTGCGTTCCAAAATTTCCTCAGCCAACATTTCTCAAATTGTAGTTCCAAAGAAATAGAAGATGGATTCTCTTCTTTTAAATATTGTACGTGTTATGTAGGAAGACAGAGCATACCCAGATGAAAGAACGGAGGAAGTTTTTTTTTTTTTTTTAAGTAACAAATTAATAGGTGATAAAGAATAGTTTGTAAAAATGAACAATGTTCAAGGGGAATTCACTAGAAAAATGAACAGAGCCAGGCAAGGTTTCCTGAAGTTAATAACATTTATTTGGGGGTTTGATAAAAATAAATTTGGATTAAAGAAAAGTTGTGAGGGGACGTGTTAGACAAAGGGATGGTTGACCTTTGTGCAAGGTAAGGAAAACAGATGTTATTTCAAATAACTGTAGAACCATTAAAACAATTGGGTCATTTCTTCTTACACTGTAAGATTTAAGATGAACAGAAAAATGTATTTAATGGTCAATCTATTATATCTACTCATCATTTTCTTCTAATTTATTGGAAATCTCAGCTCTATTTTCTTTATATAGAATAGCCCTAAGATTTTTCTATATCGGCCGTTTTTAAACCCCATTTACCCCCCAAATTTACTTACTAAAACATTTTTATCTGATTTGTTTATATAATTTTGGCTTTGTTTTCTCATATGACATTAAATAATTGTCGACCAGACAAGTTTGTATACTAACTAAATGACTCCCTATCTACCATCTGTTATTTTTTTTCCCTCCTAAGTGGAGCAAACTTCCTTCCAAAAAAATTTACTGCCGTTACAAACAGCTCTTTAAGGCGCATTTACAGATAAAATTCCATCAATTCAAGTTAGCAATGACATTTCATTAGTGCTGTCCAGTCAATGGCTGGGATTGGAAACCAACATTTCACTGTGTGCTCTGAAGTGGGGACATAGTTTCTCTGCTTATTAAGGATGGTGAGAAATGGCTGGATTAAAGCAGAGAAATATTTCAGTGATGCAGAGCAAAGGTGACTTCCTGTTTTGTTTTCTGTTTTGTTTCTTTCGCCTGTCAATGAAGGCTCTGTTTTCTGACGTTCTGCAATCCTTTTGCTCAATGATTTCCTATTGAAAGGGCATAGCGCTCGGGCCTCTGTAGGTCATGCTATTTACAATGTGCACGGAAAGGGGAGGGGTGGAGGAGAGGGAGGGCGGAGGAGTTCATTAGCCCAGAAAGCAGACCCCGAGGGGATCTGTTTTCTATTTTCTCCTCCAGATCGAACTCATCTGGATGGAAAGGGTTTTACTGATGTTACCCTTGTCTTTATACTTGTGTGGTATCATCTTCCTACACATTTCTTTCAAGCGTTACGCAAAATTGTCGAGGAGAAGAGTTAGCTCTTACTTGCCATTTTATTTCAGTTAGCAAAATCAGAAAAATAAAAGTCCAAGGGCTTTAAAGACGTTAGTTCCCACTTTTAAGCGTAAAAAGCAAGACACAAAAGTTCTAATTTCACAGGGCAAAGAAAAATAGAAGAAAATAAACCTGTTCCTTGCTTCTGATGGCCTGTTTATAACGGTGCGTAGCATTTCTTCTCTTTATGAAAGACGGCTCCCTGCGGCCCGCTAGTTATTAAAAATGCAGCCCTCTGTTTTCTGGGACTCGGACTTTTAAAGTGCCGTTGCCACGCCCTTCTCCCGCGGGTCTTTCTGCACCGCCGGTGATCTCAGAGCTGGAGTCTGCGTATAGGAAATACCTCCAGGGAGAGAAGGGTTCTGGTGGGTTCCCTGGTGGGGGAACTGGGGAGACTGACTACTAAGTGGGGAATGAGGGAGGCTTTTCAGTGAAGGGCTGGGGGCTCATCTTTGGGGCCGAAGGTCGACTCCCCAGAGAAGGGCTGGGGCGGGGGGCGCTGCCCTAGTCGGAGCCGTCTCGGGTCCGCGCCCCGCACTGCTTCGCAGGGCGCCGGCTCCCCACCGCCTCTGACTCGCAGACCTCTCTCCCGAGCGCCCATCCTTGCCGGGAAGAGGAGCAGGCGTGGGAAGGCAGGGACTGCCCCGGGGGCGGAGCTCCCTCTGGGTCCCCGAGGTGGGAAAGGCAGGAGCCGAGAGGGGTCCGAGACGCAGACCTCCCGGCGAGGCTCCTCCCGCCGGTCCCTCCTGCCAGCGACGGTCGCAGCAGCAGCTGCGGCCACCGCTCACACTGAGAATTTCTTCTTCCTCAGCCTGGAAGACTCGCAAACTCTTACTGCCCCCCGCTCTCCTGCTAGGCGCTTTCCCCCTCTGGTTTCTCTCCCTGTCTCCGGTCCATCCCCTCACTGCGGAGATTTAATTCTTCTTTTAGGACCTTTTTGGGTCCAGGCGACGTGACACCCAGAGAGCTCCAACTACCTTAGCTGAATACTACTTTTGTTTTTATTTTTCCCTCGCCTCCTTCTGTGTTCCTCTCATTTGATTGATGTGAGAGGTCTGATGCCAGAGGGACAGGAATAAATAGATGCTGCTGTCCCCGGAGGCTTAAACGTTGGGAAAGAGCGCTGAGGGGCGGGCGGGCGGCGGCCGGACCTCGGCGAAGCTCGTGGGACCCCATTGGGGGAATTTGATCCAAGGAAGCCGTGAGATTGCTGGGGGAGGAGAAGCTTCCAGATCCGTGTGTCCACTTCCCTGGGGGAGGAGGAGACAGCGGAGCGAGCCTCTCGGCGTCCACAGCGCTGCTGCACTCTGCCCCAGCCCGCCGGGATCATGGTCTGTGGCGGCCAGGGAGGGATGGGGCTGCTGCGCGCCGGGCTGCTGGCCCTGGCTTGGCTCTGCCTGCTCCGGGTGCCCGCAGCCGGCGCTGCAGCCTGCGAGCCCGTGCGCATCCCCCTGTGCAAGTCCCTGCCCTGGAACATGACCAAGATGCCCAACCACCTGCACCACAGCACCCAGGCTAACGCCATCCTGGCTATCGAGCAGTTCGAAGGTCTGCTGGGCACCCACTGCAGCCCCGATCTGCTCTTCTTCCTCTGTGCCATGTACGCGCCCATCTGCACCATTGACTTCCAGCACGAGCCCATCAAACCCTGCAAGTCTGTGTGCGAGCGGGCCCGGCAGGGCTGCGAGCCCATTCTCATCAAGTACCGCCACTCCTGGCCGGAGAGTCTGGCCTGCGACGAGCTGCCGGTGTACGACCGCGGCGTGTGCATCTCTCCCGAGGCCATCGTCACTGCGGACGGAGCCGGTGAGTCCCGCCGCGGCCCGCCTCCCCTTGCCTCCAGCCTCCTGACTTCATGGAGTCCTGTGACTCACCTTTACTCTCTAATTCTACCTTTTCTCTTTGGCTCACAAGAGATCATCCTCATCTTAATCACTGCTCTATTGAGCACCATTCTCTTTTAAAATCTCACTTTACCACAGTTCACACTGATGCATTGCTGGATTCTGGTCCAATGGGGGATCCGTCTGCCTAAAGCACTGACTATACCGTTCCTATCCCACTTCTACTCCATACTAATCCTTCACATGTGGAAGTAGCCACATTTTGTATAGTGGTGCTCTTTTTTTAAAAAAATTAATTTATAACCATTTGAGTTTTCTTGCCTGCTTCTTCTGCGATCTCAGTCATCAGGTTTCTCTATCTTTAGTGTTTTAGCTGCTTGGTTAGTTTGTATGGAGAAAACAGAAAACTGAAGCTCTGTTTTTCTAATCATTAAAAATGCCAAGATAATTTCAGTAACCTTACTCCAACCCACAGATGTTAATGGTATGTGTTTGCTCAAAATCCAATTTGAGCAATTACCTTCACCTTAAATTTCCCCCATCCTTCAATGAGATAAATTGTTCTTCAATTCTGGAATGAAACAGCTGTGAAACATTGCTATTCACTGCTAATTAGCTCTGTGGCTTGCTCCAGTTGTAGACCTGGCAGACTGAAATTACTGGGCTCTTTCACATGCTCTCAAATAGCACAGAGATAAGACACCTTAAATATAACTCCTTTAATCATTATATACTCATGTAATATTATTTTAAATCTCACTCCTTGTCTCACTCTTATATTCTGCAAATAACTCATTAATGCTTTATTTCATGCCCTTTTTCTGTGGGTGACTCAGCTACACAGTCATTTCAATCTTTCCCTACCTAAAACTTAATTGTAGTTCTCCATTTAGTGGAAGCAACCACAGTTGTTTTCTCACTAGTGTCTGTTCTAATTACAACATTCATAAGACCCCCAAACTTAGTTCTAAATCTAGTTTGCTATGGTCCATCTAATACTAACTCAGTATCATTCCTAGCTACTAACCCAAACCTCGAATTTCACCCTTCATACACTTGGAAAATAAGGCAAGTTCAACATTTTCTGAACTAGTGATCCTCTTTCATCCTTTTCCCAGATCAACTCTTCGTAGACAGTTGACTTGGTTGCCTCCATCTGTTTATCTCTTGGGCATCAGCTTTCTTTCCTCAGCTTAGTCTCATGGCCCTAGTCAGTCTCTAGTACTAATCCTCAGTTATCAGGGGGCTGATTTGGAAAGAATACTTTCTGTGCACATTGACTCACTTAACATAAAGTGAGAGGGAAAGGGAAAAGTAGTTGTTTGTACAAATGGCTGAAAAACCAAAACTAAACAGAAGGGTTTCAAGACCTCTTTGGTGGTCACCTCAGTACTACTTTTTGAATATGCCTATTGTTTTCTTGATTTTCATCAAGGATCAAGAGCTGGTTGTATAAAATAATCAGTAAGAAATGTATTCCCTATTACTCCTTGAGGTAAAAGAACATTCTTGAGCCTTTATACTCACTAAAGTCCCAGATTCTGCAGACTGAGGAAGAGCTCAGTGCAGTGCTGCCCTGGTGAGCCAGGCACTTAGAAACCGTTGATGCTGGCGCTCCTCTCAGGCCACGGGTTAGGAGTGAGGTGATGGTGGTTCCCACTGAAATGCATTCCTCCCCTTAAAGGACAAAATGTGCTCTTAAATCTCTCTTAGAGATGGACCTCGAAGGAGTGAGCTTTGGCAAGGTTAATGGCTCTTTAAAAACCATAGTCAATATGGATAGGAAGCAGTTTAATTAAGTGTCCCTGAGTCACCAATCACTGTGGACCAAACATGGAACAATTGCCTCATTGAAGCACTCAAATAGGACGTGCATGGAAACAATTTGCCAGTTCATGGGACCTCATTTCTGACCTTCATTAAAGTGCCATTATATTTGCTTTGTTGAAAGCATCCTTGCTAGAAAAATAAGTAGTGGTAGGTGGCAATTAGAAAGAATAGCTTAGTGATGGAGCCTCTAGTATGAACCAGAGACTGTGGTGGCAGGAGGAAACTGAAGGGGAGGTGGAGATGGGGAAGGGGAGGGGGTGGATTCTAGCCTAAAGGGTCCCCTGGCTTCCCAGGCCAGCTTGTTGAAAATTACATTCCCTATGCTGGGTCAAACCGTCAGACACCTGGAATTACTTAGTAACTACTGCATGTGGCCAATTTAATTTACGATGCAATATACTTCTTGGTTCAGTGGGATATGATAGTTCATGAAGCAGGATTCCTCCCCCCTCCCATTCAGGTATAAACAGAGTTCCTGTGTCTTATGACTAAAATCTGTCCAGGCAGATATAAACACAAAGACTCCTTGAATAAAATGGGACATCCTTTCACATTCCTTGAACACCAAAAGGGCTTTTAAATCCTACCATTCAGCGGGATCTGTTCTCATAGTATGTTATGGTTCCACAAACAAGTTTATGAGATTTCACAAAGCAAGGTCTTACTGAAAGGGAGTAATGCTTCCAACCACTTTTGCTTTCAAAACAAGAAGGGTAAACATACTTTTCTAAAGAACAGGTTACATCCTGAACATTCCTAATAAATTCATATTACACATTTGTACTCTATTGAGTATGGTTACTTGAGTACAGCTGCTTTATCTGAAAACCCAGTTCAATTTAGCTATTGAGCCAGTTAATTGTTACGTTTAGTTAAATCTTTAACATTGCTTGGTGAGTAAAGAGAATGGGCTTGAAGTCAGGCAGATCAGTGTTGAATCTCAACTCTGTTCCCTATCAACTGTTGCTACTGGAAAATTATGTAAAGTCTTAGATTCAAAGTTTTATCTGTAAAATGGGGACAAAACTACATCCCAAAGGCATGGTGAAGATGACATTAAGTTGAATATCAAGTGTTGAGTTTAGTGTCTGGTACATAGTGAGCTCTGAACAAATTGCCGTTGCTATTTTATTATTATCACTTTTATATTAAATTGCCTAATGATTTCCTTTCTTTTCTTCTTTTTTTAAATGATGTTAGTAGATGCAGATATAGCCTGGAATTTTTATCAGTTAATCTCTGGGAAAAGAGATTTACACTATGACCTAACTGGAAAAGCAGATCTTATTTCTTCTGAATATTTAAAGTTATTATTTCATTTTACACAAATCAACCTGGACCTCAGTCTCAAAGAGCAAGTCTCTTTGGGAGTGACAGAAACAAACAAACAAGAACAAAAAATGAGTCTGATGGATGTGAGTAAATTACAAATAGTTAATCTCAGAAACCCAGAAATCAAGCATTTAAGAAAATTTATGGTATGATCATTCACAGCTATTTCTACAGCACCTACGGTTTGCTGTGCCAAGGGCTTCATAATCACTTCTCAGTCGTGGCTGGTCTCCGTGGTGGAGCGAGCTTGTCTCCCCAGCTCTTGCTCAACACATTTCTGCAGACCTTCCCTCTCCTGCCAGAGCTGTGCCAATTTTCACATGCAGGAACTGTTGTTTAATCATTTCTCCACTCTCAGAGGAACAGGCAGGCTTTTCTTTAGCCCTGGTCTGTAAATATTTGAGGGGCCAAATACCAAGAAGGAAGAAGACTTATTTAGTGTGATAGAAAGAAAATGGCATGGAAAGGGGGAATGGAAATTTTAGATTAGGACTAGAGAGAAAACATGATTCTAAGGATCCTTCATCATGTAAAGTATTGAAAGGCTATGGATGTGCTATGGAAAAGGATGTCAGTGTTACGATATTTAATTTTCTTTAGACCTAACCCAATTATCAGTGGTAATAGAATCTTATGTAGTCCTTAAATCTTATTTTAATAATTCATTTATTTCTTGTTCCCACCAAATCTCTAAATAGGTGCTGCTATAAATAGCAAAATTGACAAGGTTATGTTTGGCCTTTCTTTCTAATTAGTGTCTAGAGAAGGGAGACAGATCTACCACGTAGACATGTAATTTTGAATAATTAAGAATTGGCTATATTACTTCAATTAGCATGTTGCATGTCCATTAATGTTGCATGTTGAGCAAATCACTTGACTGTGACATTGGTTGGAAATTGTGAAGAACGGGAAATATTCACATGAGGTGACTTGTAAATGGTAAAGCACAATATAAATGTTTAACGATACCACTGGGGAGAGGACATGTCATCCTCAGGGCAGGGATTATTAGCAGCAACAGAATAAACCCTCTTATCACTCTTAACATGTTCTAGGTGCTATCCTAAGTGCATTATGTAAATTTACTTAATTCTCATAGCGACTCATGGAAGGTGCTATTATTCCCATTTTGCTGAAAAGAAAGCCAAAGCATATAGAGAAGTTAAGTGACTTGTGTGCATTAATAAGGAAAGAGGATTCAAACTAAAGTCTGCTCTATACTACATTTCCCATATTATTAAGAAATGTGATTCTTTGGCCAGGCATGCCCTCTCGCACCTGTAATTCAGCGCTTCAGGAGTCCAAGGTGGGAGGATTACTTGAGGATCAGATTTTGAGGGTACAGTGAACTATGGTTGGGCCACTGCACTCCAGCCTGGTGACAGTGAGACCTTGTCTCTAAAATTAAAAAGTAATGTGATTTCCAGCTTTCTAGAGAATCTCTGTCTTTTGCCCATCAGATTATAGTTAAAAGAATAAAGCTTTTATGTTGTATTTCGAAAGCCCATTTATATATGGCTTAGGAGGATAAAAGGTGGCCCTAGACAATGGATTCTATGAGATAAGAGGTTACTATCTCACTGCCCTTTTGAGATAGCAGAGATTACACATTCCAGATTCTCATGTCTTAACTCGGAGCCCTTCAGTCCCAGCATTAACTTATTTTTGCATGCTCATACACTCATATATATATATATTTAGAGTATTGTTAAGAGGCACCATCATACCCGGGCCTGCAAGTCAGCATGGATGGTATCCTTTCTTCATCCCCCTCATTCAAGTGATATCAAGTGCTATTGGATCTACTCTGAATCAATTCCTTTCTCTGTCTCCCTAATGCCACTTTTCCAGTTTCACTATTTTGCATGTGGATTATGCCACAGGATGATAATTGGCCTCCTTCCTTCAGGTGTTCTCTCTCTCTATTCCAACAGGACAGTTTTTCTGAAATGTGAATCTCATGCTTAAATCCTTCAGTATCTGCCTCTGGCCCTCATGATTCCACCCCTCCCCTTTTCCCTGTTCACACCACTCTATCTATCTATGCAGAGGGCTTGGAGGTCTCTCACCCTGTTATATTTTGCAATGTTATTCTCTATCTGGAAAACCCTCCCTACCTGTCCAAGCTCCTTTAGGTCTCTTCTCCTGGAAACCTCTGTGACCTTGGCTAGAAACCCTCAGGGCATAAAACCTACTAATATCTATTATCTTAATTTAGGATACTTTTGTGGGGAGCATTCCTAAGTTTAACTTTGTGAAAACAATGTTTTAGGATTAATTATAATCAGAAAATTTTGGTTTTGTCTCTTAGAATTCTAACAGGACATTTCTAAGCATTTTTAAAGGTATATAAACATTTTCCAGTGGTTAAGAATGAAAGAAGGAAAACACTCTCCCTGTCTTGCTGTTTCAAAGGGGTTTTCTTTTTCATTTTTATTTCAACCTTTGGACACTAAAGCTTTTCAATGTGGACCAACATAATTTCTTAATTTATAGGGAGGTGATTTTTATACAAACCATATGCATTTTATCATATTATTATTCAGGAACGTAAAGGCATTGGCACATGATTCGAATAGTTGAATACAATAGTCATAAATAAAGCATTCGGATAGAATAAAAGTAATTAAATTAATAGTATATGCCCAAGTTGAACCAAACATTTTAGAATTGGTATTTGTTGCCTAATTATTTATTTGCTGACTGCTATCTTTTCTTGGAGATAGTTTTTGAAATGCCAGATGATGACCAAGCCTGGGAAAATAGTTCATTAATTATAATTGTGTTGTTGTCCCAAAACATTATTAAGCCCTTTTTGTTTCTTCCTGATATGACTTATAAACAAAAAGGGCAAAAGAAGAACACTGTTTTCTGCTAGAATCAATAGAGACATAAAATTCATTCAGCATAAAGTGTTAATACAGATATTAAACTTGTATAAAAATACTGAGCTGGAGCAGTGATAAGAATATATCACTGGGCACACCATCTCTCAGCATGGCGTTCTGCTGAGGCACTCACTGTAATTCATTAGAGGCTGCTTTTTTGATTAGAACACAGAAGACCTTTATCATCACTGATTTCTGGGACTATGGCATCATGAAAAGAATTGATGGCAATTTCTAATTATTGCCACATCTATTAATTGCACTGGGTTGAATAGTCCCTGGACAGTAGATTTCCTTTCCCTGAAGAGCTATTTAGTCTCCAGTGAACAAAGGACATAAAATGCTTTCTGAATGTAGGCAGTAAGGGTGGAAGCATACACTGGTACAGTGATGCCTAATATTTGCATAGTGTTTATTGTGATAGAATACTCATCATTTACAAATTTTATGAAATTCAAAGAAATTATTAAAACTTGCAGTTTGATAGACAGTTGATGAGGAGTCAAGAGTATCGCATGGAAGAGTAGATCTCATCCTAGTCAACCCACAAATGATCAGGGCCAACTTCATGTTTCTAATAAGAATCTACTTCCTTGAGACTCCTGGGTCTTACCCAAATCAAATTTATGACTGAATTAGGTTTTTTAGAGGGGAATTCTTGAAATATTAACAAGTATGTTATGGTTTTTTTGTTTTATCTCCTTTCAGATTTTCCTATGGATTCTAGTAATGGAAACTGTAGAGGGGCAAGCGGTGGTGAGTGTATCATTATCTTCCTGGTTTTCATTTGTGATCAGATTAATTTTTGATGTAATCTAGGCAGTCAAGTCTTATTTGGAGAAATTTGTGCTCTACATTTTAAAAGTAAACTTAAACAATTGTTTCCTTATTTATATTAATTTAAACTTTAGCATATAGTAAAATAGACCTTTTCTTTTGGTATAGTTTGACATACATGAGTTTTAATGCATGTATAGATACATGTAGCTACCACCACAATCAGGATACATAACAATTTATCACCACCCAAAACTTCCCCACATTCTATACCTTTATAATTACAAGTTTCCTCCACCCTTAACCACTGACAATTACCGATCTTTCCTCTATCACTTTAGTTTTGGCTTTTTGAAACTGTCCATATCAGTGGTATGAAAGAATATATGAGCTTTTCATCTTGACTTTTTTCACTTAGCATAATCCCTTTGAAATTTATCTAATTGTTATATGAGTCAATAGTCCATTCCTTTTTATTGCTAGATTTTTTGAGTACTTGGATGTATTTCCATTTGATTAGCTATTCACTCCTTTGGGTTGTTTCATGAGTTTTGGGTAATCATGACTAGAGCTGCTATAAGCATTCATGTATAGTTTCTGTGTGAAGATAAATTTTCACTTCTCTAGAATAAATATCTAGGAATAAGATTGCTGGGTTATATGGTTAAGTATATATTTAACTTAAAAAAAAAATTGCTAACCTTGTTCCTAAATGGCAGTTCAACTTTGCCCTAGGAATATATAAGAGTTTCAGTTGCTCCAAATCCTGGATAGCACTTGGTATGGCTATTTCCTTAATTGTTTGCCATTTTAATAGGTATACAGTGATAGCTCATTGTGGTTTTAATTTGTATTTTCAGAATGATAAAGTTAATATCTTTTCATGGGTTTATTTGCCATCCACATATCTTCTTCCTGGTGAAGTGTCAATTTATTTTTTTGCCTATTTAAAATTGGATTGTTTCCTTACTAGTAAATTTTGAGAATTCTTTGTATATTCCAGATACCAAGAACATTTTTTTGGTTTCATTCATTTTCTCTGTTGTTTTTCTGTTTTAAATGTTATTGATTTCTTCTTTTTGCTTTAGAAACTTTATTTTTCTTTTGTTTTGTTTCTCAGGATAGAAGCTTATGTTTTAAGACCTTTCTTCTGGCTCGGCGCCTGTGGCTCAAGTGGCTAAGGCGCCAGCCACATGCACCTAAGGTGGCGGGTT